CCAAGCTAGGGGAAGAGTCCACAACCTGTTCTGCCACAGCCCTGCTTTCGGCATAGCTGGCAGATAGTGAGAACAAAAGAACCTGGCCTGAGGACTGGCAATAGCTGCCAATGTTGCACCAACCATGGACTGCACAGCAGAAACGGGAAGAGAAATTCTACCTGGAAATCTTTCAGTACCAGCCAATTTCTCCTCCAAACAGAACAGAAAGTAGGAGTTAGTCGCTCAGCTTTAGCACTCCTGCCTCCCTGGGTGTGATATATACAAGAATTGGAGAGGATCTATTTTGGCAAAAAACTCATCTAAACTCTAGAAAAGTGACTCCCCTCATTTCCTGGGGCGGGGTGTGTGTGTGGTGTATGTGTGTGTGGAACCAGCTTTGCCTTTCCACTGGCTGCCCTGCACCCATCTCCACAGAGCCCCACACACGCCTTTGAGCCTGGCTTTGTTGGCAAGCAGATCTTGAAAGGCCTTTCTCATTTCTACTCTTCCCATCGCTGTAATCTCTCCCCACATGAGTAGCAGCAATAGGACCACGACGACTGAAGCTTCCCATCCTCTCTCAGTCTCTTTAGCCTCCAAGCTGCAAGCTACCCACTCCAAAACTCTTGGCAATAATTATTCTCCTGTGAAGGGTGTCAGTCACTAAGTTTCCAGCTGTCCCAACACTTTCTTGTGCCCCAAGAATACCGTAGTAAGCTCTCCCTCTGTCCTCCTCTACCTCTATCCAGGTATCTTCTCCACTTTTCACTTCTGTGGGGAAGACAGACACATTCTCTCTCTTTCTGGGAGTGAATTATCACTACCTATTACAAACACTGTCTGACACTTTCTGAAGCTACCAGCACTGTCTTATTTGGCAAACATTTGGGCTGACATTTTCCAAGACAGGTTTCCAGAATTTTTTGGAAGTTCAGTCACAACAGTTCAACTGTTACAGAAAGCAAGGTTCAGGAAAATTAAATCACTTCTCAAATTAAATAAACAAACAACTTAAGCATTAGTGGAACCTATTTCTCCCTTTTTCCTCTTTTCCCTGTAGGCTTGCTTCAGAGCAACAAAGTTTGGCAAAAGCATTGGCTTTATGCCAGGACATGCGTCAGCAGCTCAGCACAAGATTCTGGAAGAGCCAGAAGAGGGGGTACGACCTAGCTTGCTCAATGCAAACATTTGTTAAGGCCTCCTTACCACAAAAATGACGAGTCAGGGGATGCTGAGATCCACCCTACAAACACCCATGTTGATTATGTCCTCTCTGGGTCACAGAAAAAACTAATGCTAGTGCACCTCTTGTCACCCTCCTTGGATAGCAACAGGTGTTTGTGCAATGGACACATAGCAGGTGGAATATGAATACATAAGAGGTGGCTGAAGTGGTACAGTTTGGAGGCAGACCAGCCAGCATCTTTTAGTCTGCTTATATGATGCAGGTGGTAGAGAAGATTGGAAAACAGATCCCAAACAACAAGGTGTAGAACATCACAAACCTTCTGGAAGTCAATTGCAGCCCTCACTTCCTGGAACACAGAATGTGAGGTGCTGGGAGTTGGTCACCCTACACACTGAGGGAACAACATGAAGCCCCTCCACAAGTAGTCCAGGAGGTATCCCTTCATTCCCTTTTAGAAAGAGACACTGGTTTTGCCACTCTGCACTTTCTCTGTGGTGGCTGGGTACACCAGGTGGAACCCTGATGCGCTATCCAACCAAAGGCTATAGCTGCTATAAGGAGATGGAAGGACTTAGTCAAACACTTGGCAGAAAAATACAAAAGCCCAGAACAAGCCCACAAAATAAGTCAAAGCAAAACACCCTCAATATCCAGATAGCAACAACCCAGTCTCCAAGAGGAAGGCTGGTCTCATGGATACGGCAGATGAACATCACACCAGAAAGCATCACACAGACATAGCAGCAAAGTGAATTACTTAGAATTACATTAAAAAAAAAAAAATCATTGTTTGCAATGTTTTCCATTTTCTGGGTGCCTGACTGGTGTTAACTCTTGGTTGCAAGTGAAATTAAAGAGATTTACTTTAAATGTGAAGAAAACTGCATTAAAAGTCAGAACCTGGTTTTGCAGAACATTATGCATCTCACATTAAGCACCCAAAATTAGCAGACACTTTTCCTATAATCTGTCTGCCTTGATTACCTGTGGTTAGTGAACATACCATCCTGTTATCTCACAGAAACACTGCAAGGATAATTAAGACCTGTGTAGCATTCCAACTGTATTTGGAGTTAATGATCATGCCAAAAGGAAATGAGTACTTTTGTATCAGAGCAGAGTTTGCACAGTGTCCTGTAAATCAGGTGTACACATAGCTCCAGAGATAAAATATTGAATCCAGTGAGTATCATTCACTATATACACTGAACAACGCAGGAGCCCCATAGAAAAAATAGCACATGATTGCATAATTCAAAGTTATCATAAAGATTCAAGACAAGGCTACAGGCAAAAGGCAAGGCTGGATAACCATAGTAATTTCTTAACTTCTGAATGACTTCACAATCTTAATATTTTGTCAAAGTGGTGTATATAGTGCATGTGTTGTTACATACAGCTAACTGCTGATTTCTAGATGCTGGTCATAAAGATAATCTAAAATTTTCAGAAGTAATTCCAGGCACCTAAGAATCAAGTAAAAGGGCAAGGAGACAACTATAAGAGCAAACACATGTAAACAAAAAAAACCCCTGTTTTCTGCTAATCTAGTGTAGTGAAAAAGAAGAGACATACGTCCTGGTATTTCTGGTCCAAACACATTTTATGTGCTTGGCTCAGCATAGCGTGTTTGACACTTAGTTTTGTTACTGATGTCTTTTCCACTACAGCTGAAAACGTAACTACAGTAAAAGCCATCCAACAACACACGATGACAGGAAGTTTAATTTGTTTGGGAAATACTGCAACCATACAAAATTAGTCTCTTCCTCCTTGTCATGGATGGTCCTTCATGAGTGGCATTGTCATTTGTGGACTAATTACAGACAGGATCAATTGAAGTGGTTGAGGTTCACGATTAAAAGTCTAATCTGTATCAGGACACGTCTTTCTTTTGGAAGCCATAAAACATCTTTTTACAGTCAGAGAGAAGAAAGCAGCCATTTATGTTAAAAATTATTTTTAAAAAGGCAGCCTTCCAGCATTATTAAGGTAACTTTGACATTAACTACTGTTAAATGCTTATGAGGCAATATTCAAACAAATAAAGAACAAGGCAGTGTCTCTTCCAGGCCTCCAGTCACAGGCACTATGACAACTGGTTCTTTGAAGATAACTCTCAGCCATATGTAGTCACATAGCATTTTTCCTTCATCCTGAGAAACATAACCTGGAAATCTCAAGCCAACACTAAAACATTCTTGGAGCTTTTGAATTTACTGATGATCATTTCTTTATTCAAAAGCCTCTTACATATCACAAGAATTTTCATCTTGAGAGACAAAAAAGCATCTCAGAATTAATAGACTAAAGCATAAGCAGCTAACTAGATTCCATACTTTATAGTCAAATAAAATTAAGCCAACACCAACAACATATGTACTTGATAATGCTTTAAGAGATCTTGACAATGCATTTCTATAAATGAGAAAGAAGAACAAGAACACAGGCTTCTTAATCTAACATTCATCCTAGAAAAAGTAAGGAAGCATATGATATGGCACTAACCAATAAAGAGTAATAGAAGGATGTATGGAAGGAATGCTAAGTAGCAACGGTTTGTGGAATTTGTCAGACTCTTGAAATCGTTTTGATGCAAAATAAATAAAACCATCTGATAAAGGTGATGGTGTTGATTTTACATGTACACTGATATCTGTAAAATATCCATCTTCTTAATTAATATATTAATATTAATTAATAGGACAGAACAATATAAAGCCAACACAGAAGTTAAACTACTTAAATGACAGATTTCAAAGTGTCATTTACAATGTGGGAATTCAAGGTTGTTTGGCTACACTTTCTTAGGAATACAGTAGGAAGGAAGTGACAGTTGTCTTTGTGCTGTTAAGCATTTTTATGAATGACTTGGGGAAACCAGAAGTTTGCAGATGACAAAGATATTTAGGGAAACAGCAACTTGGGACTGAAGTGCTCTACAATCTAGGAAGCAAAAGGATAAAGAGAAACAAAGGTTGAAAGTCAAACGGATTAATTCAAGCTGAAACTAAGACATTTTTGACTGTGAAGACAGCAGAGTCAATAGTTATTTACCAAGGCAAGCAGCAGACTCTCTACCAAGACTATTGTAAAAACAAAACCAGAAATTTTCCTTAAGTTCCAAGCTATAGCCAGGCTACTGAACCTGAAGCAAAAATAAAGCAAGATAGCCTGAAGGTCCACATCAAACTACAGGTCAGGCTAGGTGGTCCCTTCTGAACTTTATAATCAATTATAGTAGATAAATAGATAGCTATTTAGTGAATAGTCAAATTCATTATAAGAAGTGGGCATCTCCCACCCAAAGTCACCATACTTCAGAACTGGCAGTTTTAATTCCTCTTACTCCATTTTCCCAGGGTGAAGGAAACAGATCTTATATTCTAGATGCTTTATCAAAGCCTTTAACCTACATGAAAATAACTCTTATTTTCCTTGTGAAAGGCAATGACAACCCACAGGCACAGATGTATAAACATCATAATGCAGGATGTTTTGTTCCAGTCTCCCTTCCAAAATATCTGGTATTTAGAGACCCTCTCAACAGCAATTAATCACCAATTCTCTCCACTAAAATTCACAAAGGGTGAAAAACTGAGGCTTAAAAATCAGACACACAACATTCATCCTTGAAGTTTAGGCTTAGCATCAGCTAGAAGGCTCAATTTAGCTTTAAATATACAATATCAATCAGGCACTGCTATAGTGTATCAGGTAGTCTGTCCTACAGTGCTGGTAGTCCCTGCCTTTGCTCCCTGTTAAAGCAGTCTGCCTCTTGCAAACCTACAAGGCTTTGCTCACTCCAAAAAGGCAGGAAAGGACTCACTGATTTTGTAGATTCCAGAGACCCTGAAGATAGGGTGTCTCGGCTGCCCCGACTCTTGGAACTGAGATGGGGTGAGGATGATGGCGAGTCATCAATATAGGGCATCATATCATGATGTCGCCTCTGTTCTTCAGCACGGTCTGCATCATACGCATAGCTAGGTGGCGTGCCACTGAATGAAGCATCTGTAAAACACAGGAGAAAAAAAATCTGTCTGGTCAGAGTCAAGCTGGACAGGAGACAGGCTGGTCAACCAAGGCACTGCCTGCCTCGCAGCTATTATAATTACTTATCAGTAAACCCAGAGTCAGTGATAGTTAAATATAGATCACGCGGAGACATAAATTAAACTCATGTTGTCACCAAACGTTCACTTCACTCATTCTAAGTCCTAAAAGGTAAAGTCCTTTCTAATGTCTAACACTGGTGTTCATTTAATTACAGCTCCTTCCCTCAAGTTTTCCTTCAAAAGCATTAGCATCAAAATAAATCCTTTTGCAAGCTCCACAGAAGTTACACAGTCTGGGTTTAGGAATGTAGTGGGTTAGGGTAACAGACCCTGTTTTTTCTGTAGAACAAGAACAGATGATGCCCCTGCCAGTTTAGCAATCATAGATAATACATAGCTCGGGGGAGAAACGTAACTCTTTCCAGACCTCTCAGGAGCAAGAGGACTAGGAAAGAAAAGTCTTACATGTCAAGTGAACCAGCCTACTGCCAAAAATAAAATCCTAAGAGGCCCTCTTCTATTGGCTGCCCCTCCTCCTCAATTTTGAGACTAACTCCTTAAACAAATGAACAAACCACCACCCTGCTCCCTCCTACCCTCCCCCCAAAAAACCCAACCAAAAAACAAACAAAAAAGGATGGTGGTATAAAGAGTCACATTAACCATTATTGCATTAGATATCAATGAACTTCTGCAAGAAAGATGAGTAGCAAAATTGGTTCTGGTATCTTTAGTAGCTGCATACAGAGACTGTTTCTGCAAAAATCTCTATTAAGGACACACACTGAGCAGCTCCCTCTACCATAGGTTAAAAGGTCTTCTACCTTTCTGCACAAAGAAATATACACAAAGGACCAAAATTTGCTTTCTGCACAGTGGCACCACATCACACACATCTTGCCTGAGACAAGCTGGAGACAACGTTACATACGAGTTACATGGGCCTGTGAAGCACTGTCACCTGTCGATGCCCAGAAGCATCCTGTGTGTAACAGTAATAGCCATGCATGGGCCACTGAACACAAAATGGTAGAGTTCCTCCTCTTTCAGCTACAAGTCACAAAATGCCACTCTTCTCCCAAAACTGAAAAATAACCACAGGGAGATAAGCTAGATCCACTTTTACAGTAGCAGGCGAGCCTTATGGAAGACAAAGCCACACACACACACAAAAAAAGAATAGCTTTTCTTTTCTGTCTTATAAGTTTAAAATTATGCATTAAATTCACACTTGAACACAAGTAGAACCAATTTTTACTTGTTTTAACAAATATCCAGGTTCTGCAAAAATAATAAGCAGCAGCTGCCAAGCATACTAATAATCCTGTTATACATCACTAAGGCAGGGTGGAGGAGTAACATTTTAAAGCCCACTTTCCTCCCTCACAGTAAACTCAGTTAAAGCATGACTCATTCCAGTAAAGGATGTGAACTTTGTGTGGAACAGAATAAAACTTGATCCATGTGGCTTATTCAGGAGGGAGAGCTGGTCTGGGGAATTTACGCAAACAATATACTGAAAATCCAACAATAAACTCACTGTAGAGGTGAGCCTCTGTCTCGGTTCGTACCAAATACCACCCAGCTAAATAACAGCTGTATACGAGGCCTTTAGGCTGCTGAAGTACCATGGCAATATTATTTTAACAAGCTCAATGAGTTTTATGTCACCCACCCGCTCATGGTATTACCTTGTGCTCAAGCTCTCAGTTCCTCAAAAGACTCATTAGATTGTGCAAGACCGCAGGAATGGGGGGGGTGTGGGGGGGGGAAGGTAGGTGGTACATGTTCTCTTGAAGGGATTTTTGTCTAGATGTTAGAGGTTTCCAGAGCTCCCCGATCATTTAGAAGACACCCTATTAAGCTGATTTGGTAAACAGAGGCTTTAAAAGGGAGTTGCTGAAATAAGGATGCTCAGTCACAAAGAGAAGAGATTTTTAGATATCCCAAAGTTGGATAATGTCTACAACACCTGCAAGCCAAACAAATCTCATGCTGGAATTTTCAAAGAGCTCTTTGGCTAAAAGAATGCAGAAGAGAAGACAGCATGGCCCCCACCTTGCACTACCCAAACAGGCAAGGAAACACTGAAAAGAAAGAGTAAAAATAGCCTCCTCACACACAAATGGATGGTCTTCTGTTTGGCTGGAAGGTTAAGGGACTGTTTTGACTCCAAAACCCAGAATTACAAGTAGGAAGGAGGATGGGTGTCTCCTTGCATCTCTGCACTATTTAGACCATATTAAAAAAAAAAAAAACCAAAAAAAACCCCTAACACCATATAACTTCAGTGGAGGAGTGCAGATACCAGTTTTCCATTCATCTATCCCTTGTGCAACTTTCTAACCCAAGAAGCCTGCAAGATATTACTGACAATTTAACACTGGTATTATCCAAGGAGGAACATCAGTACTGGGCACTTATGTAGGCTTCATGCCTTTGATCAAGGGTTCTTCTTCCTTCAGAAGTTTCTTCAAACTACTCTTATCCAAACCAGTTTCTCCTGCACGCATGCAGTAACAAGACCATGTTGCTGTGCAGAAATTAAGGCAGGAATATTTCTTTCACTCCCAATGCTCACTTTCAAAATTTATAGTTTGCTGCACTTCTGTTAAGGGGGGAGTGAATGCAGACTTAAAATATACTAGCAGAAAGGCTTGCAGTGAATCACAGTGTTTTCACTTTCCTCGCTTTCTCCTGCTAAAAAGCAGGCTTCACACTTCTACCTTCCATAACATGTTCTGTCTCCTACTGCACAGGGAAACCTTTATGTGAAACTGAAGGAAAGGGCAGGTGGAGGACTTGCGCTCAGAAAAGGAGATTTCTTCCTAGCTTTGCAACAAGATTCAGTCTACCTTTGAATCACTTTGTCTCCCTAGCCACAAAAATGAAAATAACACATCAACAAGGAATGAATCTGTCAGTGTCACAGACTGCCATGAGATCTGTGCGTAGAAAGCTCTATGCAGCATTTAAAACTTTATTTCTGTATCCTCCAGGGATCCTTCACACATTATAACTACTTCTAAGCTTTTTAATCCCTTTTCTTTCTATTATTGCTGCATACAGCACTGAAATCCACCTATGGAGATTTTCATTATCGCCAAGGCAGAAGGACCTTCTTGCTTTTATGCTACCATTTTTTCCAACAGAAGCAAAGTATTACTGTAGCCAGATACACTACGCAGAGTCTTGACACTAATAACAGAGGTAGATTTGTATCTCTGTGATTAACGAGACCACTGTTGCTAGGGAAACTAGGTTATTCAGATCTCTTAAACCCAGCACAATGCTGCACAGGCTGTTCAGGCTCCACCTGAGAGGAAAAAGACTAGAGCAAAGAAATCAGAGCCAGGAGCTCACCTGCTCATATACTTCCAGCTGCTCTGGGTGCTGCTATTGTAGATGGCAAGTGGAGACAGCAGCTGGGCCCAAGCAAGAAGGGGCAGACAACTCAAGAAGAGTACAGGGATCTCGTTAGGTCATGCAGAGAAGAAATGAGAAAGGCAAAAGCCCAGCTAGAACGGAATCTGGCCGCTGTCGTTAAAGACAACAAAAAAAGTTTTTACAAATATATTAATGACAAGAAGAGAGCCAAGGAGAATCTCCATCCTTTATTGGATACAGGGGGGAACATTGTCACTGAGGATGAGGAAAAGGCTGAGGTACTCAATGCCTTCTTTGCCTCAGTCTTTAACAGGCAGAGCAGTTATCCTCAGGGTACTCAGCCCCCCGAGCTGGAAGACGGGGGACGGCGAGCAGGATGAACCCCCCGTAATCCAAGAGGAAGCAGTCAATGACCTGCTATGCCACCTGGACGCTCACAAGTCTATGGGGCCGGATGGGATCCACCCGAGAGTGCTGAGGGAGCTGGCGGAGGTGCTCGCCA